GAGGAGCAGCCGGGACTTAAACTGGTGCCATATAGGATGCTGGCACTGCAGGCCATAGGTTTACCTGCTATGCCACAGCGCTGGCCCCAACAATGCCTTTTTTTTTTTTTTTTAAAGAAGCTTTATTTATTTCTTTGAAAGTCAGAGTTACACAGAGAAGGAGAGGCAGAGAGAGGTCTTCCATCTGCTGGTTCACTTCCTAGATGGCTACAACAGCTGGTCAGAGCTGCACTGATCTGGAGCCAGCAGCTTCTTCTGGGTCTCCCACGCGGGTGCAGGGGCCCAAGGACTTGGGTCATCTTCCACTGCTTTCCCAGGCCATAGCAGAGAGCTGGATTGGAAAGGAGCAGCCAGGTCTTGAACCAGTGCCCATTTGGGATGCTGGCACTGCGTATGGTGGCTTTACCTGCTATGCCACGGCGCTGGCCCCCCAACAGTGCCTTTCTAACTTTGTATCTTCACTCACATCTTGCCTTCCAAGATACTCTGCTTCTGCCCTGCCTTTGCTTCTTACTGTGCCCTGATTCTAGAACTTTCCTGGCAGTTCAGCGCCCTGCCTCACTTGAGAAGTTATAGCCCAGCAGTAGTTCCTCCTTACTGGGGAATAGGCCTAAGTATAGGGCCCCTGTGGGTGCTGCACACCCAGCTGGCACAGGCCGAGAAATGAGAGCCTAGAGGGGGGAAGGCACTTGCAAGGCCCTGGAGTCATTAAGATCCAAACCCAGGTCTGTCAGCCTTGAAGGCCAGAGTGCTTTCCTGGGCCACCCTGGGAAAGATGAGAGCACTATAAATAACTGCCCATGTGGCTGTGAGCGTGTGCCCTGGCACAGAGGGGCCTCTCCAGGCAGTTAGAGGCAGGGTCTGAGTGTGCCACTGGAGAGGGAAGGAAGAGGGCTTCCAGGAGAGGCCTGAGCCTGGGCCGCCCCTCCTCGCTGTGAGAGGAGCAGCGAGAGCAGAGTGGATCAGTGTTTGCCTAGCTCCTTGCACACTTGCCTCCCCACCTCTCCCCACTCTTAAGGACTCCCCCAACTTCTGGCACGGGTTAGGGGAGACTGAAAACTGATGGCCAAGGGGGTCCCCCTTTTGGGGATGCTGGGGAGCCCTGTTTCTAAGAGCTGCTGTTCAGCCGCATCGCACCAGGAGTTCAGCACATTTGCCCCGACTCAGAGGGGAACCGGAGGCTTGGGGGTAGGTGGGGCTACGTCCTGACTGCTGAACTGGCCCTGCTCAGTGTCCCCCACCTCCCTGCCTGTGGCCCTAGCTGGTATGGAAACAGGTGGATGTAGGCCCGTACAGGGCTGGGAATGATCACCGGCCAACACCCCTCCTTCCCTCCTGCTGGGAGCTCTGCTGGGTTTTGAAGAGCCCTGGCTGAACCCAGCTTCTGGATGCTGCTTGGTTCTCGACTTGAATCCCCTTTTTGGCCCACGGGGGCTGTGGTGAGCACCACTACTCGGAAGATGCCTCTTTGGCCAGGGCCTGGCAGCATTACTTAGCGTGGCTCCCCGTGACCCCTCAGGATCCCATGAGGCAGGGACCAGGTCCCTTCTGTCTGCAGAGGAGGACCCCACAGCTCAGGGAGGGTAAGTGACCTGCCCAAGATCCCAGGTCCCCTGAGGGACAGAGCCAGAACCTGAACCCAGCTGGACTTGTCCAATGCCCATCCCGAGCCCTCAGCCTTGCGGTTGCACCTGTGCTGGTTTCAGTCCTCGGCGATGTTCTGCAGGTAGAGGCTCAACTGGGGTCGTGTTGCAGGGCCCTCTTTCTTCAGCTCCCCGAGGCTGAGCGAAGTTGGAAAATGGAGCAGGCTGGGGGTGTGGTCTCCCCTGGTTATCTCCTGATGCCTCTGCCCAGGTCACCCTAGTCAGGGAGTGGAGGCAGGGCCTTGTACTGAGCAGACTCTGGTCCACTCTGGCCTGGTAGGGGTTCAGTACTGGGTACATGGCTGGGGCTAGCAGCCAGGGCAGCTTTTCAGAGGAGAAGAGAGAAGTAGCATGAGCAGGGTTGCAGTGGAGCCCCCTTGCTGTCCTGTCTTGGGGCCGGGAGAGGCATCCCAGAGCTAGACTGTGCTGCTGGGATGTTGGTGGTGGGCTAGGAGCTGGCCCTGCTGGAGCAGTGAGGTGCCAGGCCCCAGGGACACTGGCAAAGGCTGCCTGCCCCCACTCCAGGTGCACAGAGACCTTTGAGACCAGTTTGTCACAGGTTACTATTTAGCCTCCGAGCCTCGGTTTCCTCAGGTGAAGCCTTGTAAGGGTTCAGTGAGACCCAGCCTGTGGAGGGAGTGGGGCATGCAGTAGGTGAGGTGAGTGTTGGAGCCTCCAGCTGTATCCCAGAGACCACTGCCTCGTCCCAGACTCGCTTGGGAAGGGAGGGGACTACATCTGTACCACACCCAGACTGGGAGGAGCCGGGCAGGCCAGGTCTGGCGCCTCAGCCCTTTTCTTAACCTCAAGGGGCCAATTAGCCCCCATCTGCCCTCTTCACCCACCTGACCCTCCGAAGCACAGGCCTGGTGGCAGCTGGAATGTCTGAGGGGCAGACCCATGCCCAGGTCCTGGGAACATGGCTCGGGGTGGGTTGGGGAGCAGCTGCCACCTGACTGTGCATGTGCACGGTGAGGGGCCTACTGTTGGAAGAGTCCCCACCCAGGATAGTGAGCAGGGCGTCACGGCTGCCCAAGGCTGGGAGGAGGGATGGGAGTGGGGTGCCTTTCTCATGGCATGACTGAGCCAGTCCCTCCCATCCCTGGTGCAGGACTAACCAGAGGCCACAGAGACTGTCGAGTGGCCGGTCTCCTGTAATAGGCCCTACCTGGCACCCTGAGAGAGCATCTACTACATGCCAGACCCTGGCCTAAGCCTCGGGGTGTGGGGAAGGCAGACAGGAGGCAGCCCTGGGCCCCATCCATGCTGCATTACCTGTGTGACCTGCAGATGACCTCCCCTGGCCTTGGTTTACCCAGGTGTGAAATGGTGAGGGGTGGAGGCAACCCCTGATGAAGGCCTGGCCTGTGCCTAGTTGAGGTCAGTTGCCTTCCCCTGTTAGGGGGAGGGAGGAAGCAGGCAGCACCTACTGCCCTCACCGCCGCCCAGTGTGGGCACTGCCCTACTTCAGCCCCAGTTGCCAGGGAACCACCAGGTTCCTTGCTAACCTGGATTTCTCTATTGATGGGCGGCTTTTGTCTTCTTTCCTTGGTGCGGCCACCACTGAGGGCAGCCCATGTCCAGCTGTGTTTCCAGGCAACCCTCACCTCTGGAGGCTCGGGGGAGGTCTATAGGCTAAAGAGCCGCTTGCTGGGAAGCAGGACCTGCCTGCCGCCCGCTGCCCTCCAGGTGGGCACCTGCCCCCACCTCTGTCTCCCCAGTCCGGCCTCACTTGGCAGGCAGCCCATTGTTCCATACCACTCCCTCCCCGCCCAGGCTCCTGCAGCCCCAGGGGAGAAGTGCAAACCTCTTGCCTTGCAGCTGAGGCCTGGTGTGGCTGGGGCACTGCCACATTCACCGTGGCAGGTCAGGCCCCTCCTGTGAGCCAGGCTGTGTGCCAGGCGCTGAACAGAAACATAGAAGAGGATCTCATGAGTACCTCACACCTGCTCATCAAGTATGTGCCCCTTCCCACCCTACAGTTTGCACATGGGGAAACTGAGGCACAGTCAAGAGTCGTGAATGCTTATTGAGGGCTCACCCTTGGTCCACAGCCACAAGGCCGGCAGACAGCAGACAAGTGGGGCAGGTTTGTGCTCCCTGGTCATGTGCTGAGGCTCTGGGCTAACCACCTGAGAGGGATTGTGGTATGCTCAGACCCACCCCACCCCCACTCCTGAGTGCTTCTGGGCCCCTCACCGCAGGCCTGCCCTCTGGCCCTCCTTACCCTAGCGAGGCCAGGCCAGGCCCTGGCTGCCTCCTCTCTCAGTTCTGCACTCACCTCCCAGCTCAGTGCTGCACCTGGAGGGCCCATTGGGGGAGGGGCTGGGTAAACAGGATCTTCTCTTGCTGAGGTGGGAGGTGGTGGTGGGGAGGGGCCTTCCAAGAGGAAGTGATTTTAATGTCTGAAGGAAGGCTAGGATGTTGGCCAAGTGATGGGAGGGGTCTCTGGGCAGAGGAAGCAGCAGGTACCTTGTGTCCTGTCTAAGGGATAGAGAGAAGCCCGGAGGGGCCTGTGTGTGTGTGTGTGTGTGTGTGTACGTGTGGTGTGTGTAGGTAGGTGGGGTGATTGGGCATGCTGGCTGCCATTCTGAGGGTGTTGAAGTTGCAGGGGACTGCTGCTGGAGGCTGGGGTAGGGGAGAAGACAGGAGGAATGGACACCTGCCCTGTTCTTGGGGAGCTGGTCGGGGGGATGGGGTGTGGCAGGGGCCTAGGTGACCCTGAGGCTTCAGTTCTGGCAAAGGGGAAGCTGCCTGTGCCCTGCGTCAGGGCGCTTCCTCTTTCTCTGAGGCCTGCCGGGCTGCACCTCCCTGGGGCTCTGCTGGCTTCTACCTCAGCTTGGGGCCCTGGTCCCGGCTTTGCTAGTTGGTTTTTATGGTGGGAATTTCTGGTTCTGACTGTTGGGACAGTTTTTTAGAGGACCCGGTCTGAGGAAGCTCTCGCAGGCCTGCGGAGCCTCCTGCTGCAGATATGGCTGGGCGTGGGGCTCTGTGGGGAATCAGACAGATGGCTCTGCCCTCACTGCTTGTCTGGTGGGCGAGAGCACAGAACAAGTAAGCAAATACTTAATTACAGACCTCGGCCCAGGCGCAGAGCAGAGCAGGTACTGGGGAGGAAATCCTGTGACCTGCTCTAGGCCATGACCTCGTTTAAACCTCAGGACAGCCTTGCCCCGGGAGATAAACATCCCCATCATGCAGATGAAGAAACTGAGCCCTGGCAAGGTGAGGAGGGGCACAGGTCCCACAGGGAGCTGGTGGCAGCAGGCGCAGGGCTGTAAGCCTGGAGACTTGGGGAAGGAGTGGCCTCTAAGCTAACTTCCTTTTCTGCAAAAACCCCCTGGGGCCCCTCCTCCCCGACTCAGACTGGCTGGGGGTGGCTGTTCTCTGTCAGCCTCCTTGGAGCTGGAGGGGAGCTCTGAGCGCGCCGTCCCTCCCCCTCCAGGGCTCGGTCTCCCTGTTTCTAACGGCTGTCCTCCAGCCTTGGGAGCTCACCGACCGCCCGGCCCTGGCAGCAGGACAGGTGGAGGACCTGCTTTCCAGCCAGGGTCCCTGGGCTCTGGCTGGGACGCTGGAGGCCTGGTGAGGAAGGGGGCTGTGCAGCGGGGGTGTGCACACGTGGGCCACGGGGCTCTGTGCTTGATGGGGCAGGTCCAGCAGGGGCTCCAACCGGGCTGAGTGTGGGGGCTGGTGCGCCAGACCAGAGTAAGTGCTGGTTTGGGGTAATTAGAAGGCACATAATTAGAGAGCGCGGGGCACTGGGCGGCGGGTGTCTGTGAAGGTGCCCATGGGCCCTCGCTGGCTCTCAGTCTGGGCCTGCAAAGCCGCGCTCTCCTCCCAGGAGGCTCCAGATCACTGAGTGCCACGTGTGTCTGCAGATGCGTGGCTGCACAGCTCCCCTCGTGTGGGCTCGGGTCACCCAGCAGGGCTGGCTCTGGGCCTCTCCCCTCTGCTGGCTTTGTCCCTGTTGACTCCCTGCCCCAGCACTCTGGGACGTGGAGGGGGCAGGGCTCAGGGGGCCAGCCTGAGGATGAGGGGCTCATGGTTAGGTCTGGGGTTGGATTCCTTGAAGGATGAGGGGGGGGGGGACCACAGGGAGATGGGCATGAGCTGGGCCTGGGCAGGGGCAACACACTTTGGGGAAGAAACTGGAAGGAAGAGTTGTGACCAAATTCGAGGAGGGGCAGGCTGGGGCGTGAGTTGGGGGCCACCTTCTGTTGTAGCCTTCACCCCGCTCCGGCCCAGCCTTCCCCGCCCTGGTTTTCCCCTGAGCTGGCCTGGGGCCGAGAGCCAGTGACCTGGAGAGTCCCGAGGATGCTGCGACTGCTGCCCCTCCCCGTCCCCGGGTGTAACTCAAACCCCTGGCTGGAGATCTGTGCTGGCCAGGCTGAGAGGTCAGGAGGCCAGGCCAGTAGGCAGATCCCTTTCCTCAGCTGCTTCTCCAGCGAGAAGCCCGGGCTGCCTGTGGGGGAGGGGCTCTTGTGTGACCTGGAACCTGCTCACTGTGTGCAGGACCTCCCCCCGTGCTTGGCCTCAGAAAGTGTGGCGCTGCATAGGCAGCCGGGGGCCTGGACCCCCGAGGGAGGTCAGAGAAGTTGGGTGTTGGAGGCCCAGCCTGGCCATGCTGAGCTGAGGCCTCCAAGCGCCGCTGCCATGGCCTCCTGGACCTGAAGCCAGACCTCTGGGAGATACATCATGGAACTCCCGGAGTCTACTACAGTTCCTTGTGTGGTCAATCCCAGTGTTCCAACCTCCAGTGCTGCTCCAGCCCTGTCCCCTGGCTAGAGGGATCTCCAGAGGCCACAGGCTGGGCTGTGGACAGTGTGGCCGCCGCTGGCCCTCTGAAACATCACACGCTGTGCCCTGACCCTGCTTTATGTTGTCTCCTGCCACTTCCTGCCAACCCGCAGGGGGCCCGTTTGCTTGCTGTCGTCTCCTAGGTTGGCACTCTCTGAGGACAGGGGTCCCGTCTGTTGCGTTCATCACTGTTTTCCAGTGCTGAGGGCAGTGCCACACACGTAGTGGGTGCTGGAAAGATGTGGAAGGCTGATTGCCCGCTGCCCTGGCCACCCCGCGTAGATGGGCAGAGGTGTTCCTGCCCTCCCTGGAGAGCCTGCTGGTTGTGGACGGTGGACTTGTGGAAGGACTGGGACTGATGGGGTGGGGTGGGGGACACACGGGCAGGCTCAGCTTGGGTGACGCCTCTGGACAAGTTCTGGAGAGAGAGGCCCTTGTGTTGGGCTCTGAAGGGCAAGGGCGAAGGCCTTCCCTGGAGCAGAGCTGGCGAGAGCAGAGGCAGAGGAGCGGGCGAGGCCTGGCGTTCGCTGGGGCGCAGCCTGCACCACCGCAGAGGAGGGTGGAGAGGCCGAGGCCTCCCTGCGCGTCCTTCCTCCCGGGCTCCGCTGCCCTGCTGCGGGGCACCTAGCTGTTTACGGAAGGGGAGGGAAGCCCTTCCTCCTCTGGGAAGCCTCCCCAGCCTGCAGAGCGCTGTCTGCCCGTCCAGCCTCCGAGGCTGACCCCAGACAGGGAAGACCCGCTGTGCTCGTTGCACACTGCCAACTCCTCATCAAGTCGTCCCTGGGGAACAGCAGGGCCTGCCGGCCTGCCCTGCCGCCCCACCAAGCCTTCTCTCCATTCGCCCTAGGCTAGCGACCACTCCGGGGCCTGATGATGAAGCTGAGCCTGCTATGCCGGCCCCTGTCCTGCCTCATCCTGGTGAGTTGTGCATGGGCTGGGGGAAGCCAGGGGAGCTGAGTCTTGAGCCCTGCACCCCAGGCCCCCGGGGAGGGGTGTGCAGGTGCAGCTTGGTAGTCCCGTGCCCGTGCTGGCAGAGGAGCTGGTTACTTGGCTCTTCCTGCGAAGACTCTGAGGCAGTCAGACCCTAGCAGGCCCTCCTAGCCCACCCAGGTGTGAAGTGGGGAGGCAGCTTTCCCAAGCCGTGCCCTCCTGGCCTGGGGTGCGGGGAGAAGGAGGGACTGGCGGCTGTTTACAGGCAAGGTAGGCGTGGCTGAGGGCAAGATGCCTGTTGTTGTGGTCAGGGGTGAGAGCTGCGCCAGGCAAGGAGGATGGTCCGGGACCTGCAGGAAAGCAGACAAAAGAGGCGTGGGAACCTTGGCACCATGTACTGGTCTAGAGACCCCAGATTCTAGGGCCCAGAATCAGAATCAGGCCAAGTGCCTAGAGCCTCAGGTGACTCCGGGTTGTAGACCCACGGCCTCAGGCAGCATCCTGGGATCTGATCTGAGCCCCCTCTCTGCTGTGAGCTGGAAACTCAGGGATGATGAGACGTAGCTGAGGGCAGGAGGCCTCTGGCTTTGGCAGGTGCCAGACAGAGCTAGGCCTAGGGCCTGGGGAGGCCCCTGTGGCATCCAGCCCAACACCCGCTCGCTGTCTGCTCTGTGTCTACTCCCTCCCCAACCGGCTTGGGCCGAATTAGAGAGCAGGCTCTGCCCACAGCAGGAGGCTCGGGGGTGGACAGCTCCTAGCTGAGAACAGGAAGCAGAGAACGCGCTGGGGTACACAGGTGGGAATGTTTGGGCAGAGTGTGAATGGGGTGGCTTTGCCTCGGAGGGAGGTCACCTAGGAGGATGTGGTCCTGGAGACTCAGCTGAGGGCCCAGAATAGGAGGCACCAGCTGCAGACTTGGCCGCAGGGCTCATAAACAGAGGCCGCTTAATGACATGCCCAGCTGCCTGAGTGGGGGCGGGGCAGCAGGAAGGGGTCGAATCCCAGAGAGGAGAGAGGAATTGGGAAGCATTTCCTCCTCACCCTTCGGGTTGGCTGGAAGGGGTGTGACTCAGAGATCTGAGGTCTGCCTGGGGCTTTCCAGCACTTTCTAGAACAGATGAGGTTCTCTGCCTCTCCAGGTAGTGGCCTGGCAACAGACCTGGGCCGCGGCAGGTTTTCCCAGCATTTAGAGCAGTGTCCCTGAAGCCTGGTGGGGTGCCCCTGTGTGGTCAATCATCCCCACCGCCGGGCCTCAGGAAGTTGGTGGGGGGTGGTGACCCCAGAGACCCCATGCCCAGCACACCCTGCCTCTCAGTGCACTCCTGCCTGCTGTTCTTCCAGCTGCTTCCCTGGCCTCTGGCCACACCAGCATCCACTACCCCGTGGCAATGCCCACCGGGGGAAGAGCCCGGCCTGGTGAGTGCTTCCCTGCTCCCTGCCCTGTTCTGGGAGGGCTCCGGAGGGCGGCGCCCTGGCCGGGCTTGCCCTGGGGCCCCAGGCCAGCTCCTGCCCTTGTTCCCGCCTCTCCCCTCCCGCAGGACCCAGAGCAGGGTACATTGTGCAGATCCTGCCCGCCGGGCACCTTCTCAGCCTCATGGGGCTCCAGTCCATGCCAGCCCCATAACCGCTGCAGCTTTCGAAGGCGGCTGGAGGCCCAGGCAGGCACGGCGACTCAGGATGCGCTCTGTGGAGGCTGCCAGCCTGGGTGAGCACGGGGCTGGGGCGTGGAGGCTCGTGCTTGCAGGACCAGCACTGTGGAGCCCAGGGCCCCAGCCTCAGCCTTCCCATCTGTGAGATGGGATTAGTGAGGACCACAGAAGGCACTGTTCCTTCCCGGTAGGAAGGAACCCAGCCTCTCTGAGCACGGGATGTTTGGGCAACTTTCTGGTCTAAGTGACATCTTCTCCCTGCAGGTGGTTTGGGCCTTGGGAGGTCCCCCGTGTTCCATGTCAGCCGTGCTCCTGGGCCCCTCCGGGTACTCGAGGCTGCGATGGTGAGTTGCAGATTGGGGTGTGGGGAGGGGCCCAGTGACTGAGCCCTGAACACCCCCCACATCAGCCCAGAGGAGGGCCTGTGTCCAGGGAGTGTCCATTCACTTCTCTCTTCTCAGTGGCACAGGCTGTCCAGCAGAGGGCAGCCACAGCTTGGAGACCGGGGTCTCAATCTCCCCAGCCCCTGTTCCCTTCACCCCAGTGATACTCCTGCAGGTGGACGTGAACGCGGGTGCTCACACATGCCTCACACACAGGCTGGCCCACGCTGCCTCCCCTGCCCAGCCAGTCACCATCTGAGGCAACCAATTCACTGGCCAGGCCATGGGGTGCAGGGTCCTGTGTCCCTGTGCCCAGACATGTGCCCCGGGGGCTGTCCCCAGCATGAAGGGAGGATGGGGCTGATGGGCCAGCTGTCCCAAAGCCCGAGGAGGCCTTGCTCAGGAGGAGAGGTCAGAAAGCAAAAAAGAAGGGGCGTGAGTTGCCCAGTAGGGTGGGGTGCGGGCTGCCCGGGTCTCCCCAGCACACACGCATGCGCGTGGGTGGTGCGTGTTCCTGTCTTGCCTCTGTCCTCCGTGGTGCTCAGAATGGAGGCGGCGGACCCGGCGTGGCGTGGAGGTGGCTGCAGGGGCCAGCGGTGCCGGCGAGACGCGGCAGACCGGGAACGGCACGCGGGCGGGCGGCCCCGAGGAGACGGCCACCCAGTACGCGGTGATCGCCATTGTGCCTGTCTTCTGCCTCATGGGGCTGCTGGGCATCCTGGTGTGCAACCTGCTCAAGCGGAAGGGCTACCACTGCACGGCTCACAAGGAGGTCGGGCCCGGCCCTGGAGGTGGAGGCAGCGGTGAGGCCCGCCCTGGGCTCCGGGGTGTGTGGGAGCGTGCAGTATCCAGGCCCAGCGCAGTGTGGCCTGGAGAGGGCCACCCAGGAGGGCTTCCTGGAGGTGCTGCTGCCGGGAGCCATAGAGGATATAGCTGCAGACTGACAGGGGAGGGGAGGGGTGGGGGCCGAGGTGGGATCATGGTGGTGGAGCGGAGGTGGGACAGCAAGTCAAGCAGCCTCAGCGGGATTCCCACTGGGTGAGGCCCTGCTGCACTGTGGGCTTGTGGACTCCTTGGGGGATACAGTTGCATGTGTGTCATTTGAGGGTCCAGTGGCTTTGAGGTACTGAGAGTGACCTCTGATCTCTGGCCTGTGTCGGGAGTGCTGGCAGGGCACCTGTCCTGCAGTACGACAGACAAGTTTTGGAGCCATGGGGAGAGGTACTTCTCTCCCACCCACGAGGCCCTAGGCCCCTGTTCTTCCCCACCCCAGCACTGTCCCCGGAGGCTCAGGGGCCCACGTGCACCTACGCTGCCCTGGGCCCAAAGGAGCCAGTCAAATGGCACGTGGCATGGCATGTCGCATGCTGGTACCCCAGGCTGCTTGGGGCTGCCCAGAGCCCTTTGCAACTCCAGAGGCCCGGAGGGGACGGGAAGGGGACAGGGAACTTAGGCAGGCGGGAAGGTATTGACGCAGGGCCATTTTTCCTGGGACTATACTTGTGTTCTGGCCTAGTGACTTCTCTGACTGTTGACAAGGCCTGGAAGCTCCGTTTGCTGGTGGCCCAGTGGCCATTCCCCTGAGCTGTGGGCTCCAAGCTGACCGGGCCCCTCTGTTAAGTAGTTACGTGGTGGGGTGCTGTGCAGGGAGCTGGTGATTCTGGAAGGGCAGAGATTGCTGTAGACGTTGGGGTTCTAGATAGCCCCCTAGAGCTAAGGAGGGGACAGCACAGGCCCAGAAGAGGCTGGACTCATCCCCCTCCCCAGCAAACACACACATACAACTCTGCAGGGACTGTGGACTTGGGGGGCCCTGAAACCTCCAAGCACCTGGAGCCTTGCAGTTGCGGGGACTTTACACGTGTGTGCGGCTCTGCGGCAACTCTTAGGAAGGCCTGGGGCGCCCTCTGCCGGCAGATCCTGGGGTAGCTGAGGAGGCCGGAGCCCACCCTCGTCCCTGGGATCATGGTCCTTCTCTTCCCTTCCCCAGGCATCAATCCCGCCTACCGGACCGAGGATGCCAACGAGGACACCATTGGGGTCCTGGTGCGCCTCATCACAGAAAAGAAAGGTGAAGGGAGGAGGAGCCCCCATCCTCGAGCTGGGGACCAGGTCTCCTCCAGGAGCCCTGCCCTGCCCTGCCCCTCCCCACTGGACGCCTGGGACAGGCCTGGTGCTCGCTGACTCCTGTTCTTGCCTGTTGAGGGGTGGAGGAAAAGGCACGCACAGCCCAGGCCAGGGAGGGTCTGTGCTGGGCGGGTGTGGGGGGGTGCCCGTCTCGTCCAGAGCCAGGTTCTGACGGCAGCTGCCCACAGAGAATGCGGCGGCCCTGGAGGAGCTGCTGAAGGAGCACCATAGCAAACAGCTGGTGCAGACGAGCCACAGGCTCGGGCCCAGGTGAGCAGGCAGTGCCGGGGCGGGGCGGGAACCCACAGCGAGGCGGCCTCTTGTCACTGTGGTGGTCCACCCACTGGGGTCTACAGGCCCTGGCCGGGCCTCTGACCGTTCTCACCTTGTGCCTCCTGTAGGCCGCCGCCAGCTGCCCCCGGCACGCCGCACATCTGCCCACACCGCCACCACCTCCACACCGTGCAGGGCCTGGCCTCGCTCTCTGGCCCGTGCTGCTCCCGTTGTAGCCAGAAGAAGTGGCCGGAGGTGCTGCTGTCTCCTGAGGCTGCAGCCGCTGCCACGCCTGCCCCCAGCCTCCTGCCCAACCCTGTTAGGACACCCAAGACTGGGGCCAAGGCGGGCCGCCAGGGCGAGATCACCATCTTGTCTGTGGGCAGGTGAGGTGGGCACGGCCCTGGGGGGCACAGGGCCTTGCACTGAGCCCTGAGAGCCCTACTCATTAGTGCCCCTGTCCTTCCTGGTCCTCTCTGGGTAGTGTGTGCAGAGACAAGGCAGGACTTCCCAGCCGTGCTGTCTCTCATGGAGGTCTTGGGTCTCAGGGCCTGTCCATGTGCAGCCCACGGCCGGGGCGGGGGACTGGCTGTGAGCAGCCGAGTGCAGCCTTGTCTGTGGGCGGGAGGGGCCTGGGAAGCAGCCACAGGCTCGGCTCTGGCCCACAAACTTGCTCTGTGACGCTGGGCACGTGCTGCACTCTCCACCCCGAAGCTCCCCCCCTGATGGGGGGTTGATCACACCCCCTCCTCTCCTCCCAGGTTCCGGGTGGCTCGAATTCCGGAGCAGCGGACGAGTTCAGGGGCATCTGAGGTGAAGACCATCACGGAGGCCGGGCCCTCAGGGAATGAGCCCCCCGACTCCCCACAGCCTGGCCTCCAGGCTGAGCAGCGGGCACTGCTGGGCAGTGGCGGAAGCCATGCTAAGTGGTTAAAGGCCCCAGTGGAGACCAAGGCCGAGGTGAGGGCCGGGCGAGGGTGTCTGTTGGCACCTGGGTTGGGACGTGGGTCGGGGTACAGAGGTCCTGGGCGGGTGCCATTTCCTGCAGCCCATAAGCCCTCGGAGCTCAGCTGTGCCCCCTGCCCATCCCCAGGAGAACCGCTATGTGGTCCGGATGAGCGAGAGCAACCTGGTGATCTGAGGCTGCCTGGTGTGTGGACACCACAGCCCCGCCCTGGGAGGCGCCGAAGGTTTCCTGGAGGAGGGAAAGCTGCAGCCGGGGGTACCAAGAAGCCACGGCCCAGCAGCCCAAGCGGCAGAGGCCGAGGCCTGGAGGTGGGCCCGTCCGCCCCAGTGAGGCACTGTGTGCAGGAGTGGACTGAGAGCCCCGCCCCGCCCCCCACGGCCCCGCCCCCGTGCCCGCCCTGCAGATCCTAGGAGCCCTGGGGGTTCTCTGTAGCACCAGGGGCTTGGCAGAGGAGGGCTCTGTGCCTGGTGCCCTCTGCCCCTGCACGGGGCTCTGGGGCAGACGTGCCTCCCCCTCCTCTGCCAGCAGGCCCGTGCGGGGGAAGGGCGACGGGCAGGCCTAGGCTGGGAGGTGCTGTCTGCGATCTGGTCTTGGGCATGGCCACCGGGGCTGGGGTCGCACTGTGAAGCTGGGAGGCAGCGTCGCGGCGCCCAGGGCCGCCCAGCTCCTGGCGGGCTCTGCGCTGGGTCGAGTGGGGAGAGCTCGGCCCTGCACCCCTCCCGTTAGTAGTTTTACCTGGCCCTATTTCTGCTGCTTCCGGGGCCCTCGCAGGGCTGTACTTCCCACGGCTCTGCTTCGTGCATGTGCCTGCCCCTGCCTCTGCCGTTCGCAGTGAAATTCAAACATGGACTTGACCTGGGCAGGGCCGCCCCTGAGATGTCAGGCGTCTCAGGGCAGGGGGCGTTGGCCGGGCTGGGGGTGCTCAGGCGTCTGTGGCTTCCCAGTCCCCGTCCCCCAGCTCTGCGCAGCGCGGGTGGCTGCCGGCCACGCCCCATCTCCACGCTGGCCCAGCCGCCTCGCCTCGTTATTTATGTGGGGCCGTGCAGGCGCGGGCCCACTGCCCCTCCCCACCTCCTATTTATTGAAACTCGCTGTTGTCCTGTCCTTGCGTCTCCATCTCCATCCACTTGTGGAACAATAAAAGGTGGGAAAGCTGTGTCATGAGGGGCTTCTTTCCAGTGTTCCCTCCCAGGCCGCCCCCTCCTCCACGGTCCCCTGGCAGCCCCCGCCCCTTAGCCACAGGGCTGTCCCACAGATACAGTGAGAGCCACGCGCCTGACCTCAAAACGTGTCATAAAACTATTCTATTTAGAAGTTTTGTTTTAAATCAGCATATAATACTTGCACGTTCTCTTGGGATGTGGTGCAATATTTCCACACACACAGTGTGATCCCGTCAGACGGTACCTGGCCTTCCCCTTTCCATCTCCTGGGTTTGCAGCCCCCCAGCACCTCCTGCCAGTGTGCGCCTGTGCCCGGCAGTGCCCGCGGAGCTCCAGAGCGCCTGCCTTCGTCTGCCTGGGCTTGGTACCTGCTATCCAACCTCCCTCCATCCCCGACTTACAACTGCAGAAAGTGGAGACAGGAACGGAATTTTACTAATATATGTTTTTAGCCTAATATATAAGAAATTTTTGCATTTCAATACAAAATCAATATAAGTTATGAATGGGCTAATTTTTTTTTTTGCTTTGAACTCTGATGTATATTATACACATCTCAACATGAGCTGGCGGATTGCAAGGGCTCCACAGCCACACGGGGCCAGTGGTGGCCACACTGGACAGCAAGGGGCTGTGGAGGACGTGAGGGTCCAGGGGCGCCTGGGAGATGAATGGGGTGAGGAAGACACGGAGGGGTGGGGGCAGTGCTCCCCAGGGAGGAAGAGCTGCGGAGGGCAGCTGTGGGGCGGGTCCTCCCCCCTCTGGGGTGGGGCAGCAGCAGCCGGAACCCCGGCCTGGCAGGCTGCAGCTGGCGGGGCGAGGGAGCACCTGGCTACGTCCGGGGCGTCTGGAGGTGCAGACCTGGCCGAGCAGAGCAGCTGCGGGCACCGAGGCGGGCACCGTGCCCGGGAGCGCCCCGCAGACCCCGGGCTGCTCCTGGCGCAGCAGCAGGAGCAGCTGTCCCCACAGCCAGGGGCCCTGGTGAGTGGACACGGGGGCATGGTGGGAGTCGTCTCAAGGGGCTGGCGAGGGCAGGACCGAGTGGACTGGGGGGACAGCTCCCTCGTCGTCTGCTGGGCCTCGGGTTCGGGGGAGAAGGCTTCAGATGTTGGGGTGTGACTGGTGCGTGGTGCATTGTTCAAAGGTGGGAAGGGGACATGCAGGCAGTGGAGAGGCTGCAGGCAAGTGACACTTGATGGAACCTGGGCCAGGCCACGCGGGGTGCAGGAAGTGAGATGGGGGCCTGGCCCGGCAGCCACAGAGGACTCCCACCCTGGGCAGAGGCTCTGGGCAGCTTGCTTTGAGGTCCCACCTCCCCTGCTTCTCCCCAGGTACCTGGTAACTGGGCAGGAAAGGGTGAGGGCGGCACTCAGGCCCCGGGGGACGAGGACTCCCTGCACCAGGACAGGGAGGCTGTGTGCCAGGAGGAATTTTCTGGAGCAGCCCAGGAGCGGCGCCTCTTGTAGGCAACTAGCAGGTACCCCCAGTGCACCTGGGCTGCCCCTTGCCCCTGCCTGGTGGCCCCGGTGCCCTGCTTATGCTGGCTGCTGGCTGCATCTCAGGGTTTGGCTTTTCGGACTTGCTGGTCTGCTCAGCCCGGGAGTGGCCTGGGGTGGGGTGGGGTGGGGTGGGGTGGAGGCTGCACAGCCCCCCTGCACTTGGCCGCCTCTGGGGAGGCTGCGCTGCCCTGGCTGGGGAGAGACACGCTAAGGCCAGCAGGGGTGAGGCTGAGGCGGGGTCTGGGCCTCAGATGAGGGAAGACACCCCCGTCGCAGCCGGCATGGGCTCCCGCAAGCTTCTGCTCCCCACCTTTCTGCGGCGTCCAGTGCCCCCCCCCCCCGCAGCTGGAGCTCAGGAGCGGCCTCGGGGTGGGGGCGGGGAGGGGGGCTCTGGGCCGACCTCTGGGGCAGGAATGTTCTGAGCCTGACCTCTGCTCTAGTTTGGAGGCCCCCAAAGGCCCACGTGCCCCTCCAAGGCTGCAGCCAATTATGTTGAGGGGTGGGCCCAGCGGAGGTCCTCAGGCCCAGTGGAGGCGGGCCCTCGGGTGGAAGTTCTCGCAGAGGGTCGCTATATAAGCCAGAGTGGCCTTGGCCCTCTGCTTCCTGGCTGCCCCGTGGTCCTCGCCTGCACCTGTTCCTTTGTCTAACGCCCGCATCAGACACCGCAGCACTGGGGCTGCGTGATCGCGGCTGTGAGCTGCCGAAACCGTGAGCCGAGATAAGCCTTTCTCCTTCCTACGTAGCTTCTCAGGTGTGTGTGAGGCCAGTGATGGAAGGATGACCATCAGACCATTCGTGCAGAGAGGGGCTGCGGGTGTGACTTCGGAAGTGATTACGGGAAAGCGGTTGGGAGGGTTCAGAGGCGCAGGCTACAGCAGGCCTGGCGCGGTGCGCAGAGCGTCCCGGGCATGCTGACAGCTCAGCGGGCCAGACGCTGGCAGAAACGTGGACAGTAGAGGCCGTGCGGATGGGGCTGCCCCCGGGCGCGTGAGTCCCTGTCACGTGGTGGCTGAGCCTGGCTCTTCGGCGTCCGTGTCCCGAGACCGTGCTCCATCTCGTGGGCCGCTGTGTTTTGGAGGTTTCTGGGCAGCCAGGGGTCCAGGCTGCCGTCGCTGAGATTTGCAGTGAGAATCGAGCAGGACGGTTTGGAAAGTGCAGCGTGGCTGGAGGAGGGAGGGGGGAAAGTGAGGTGGAGAAAGGAGCTGATAAAGACACTGGCACAGGTGAGGGGGAGGCGGGTGCTCTGGGGCCAGAGGACGGACGAAGAACCCGAGGGCATCTCAGAGCTCGGGGCAGGGACACCCTGGGCGTGGGCAGGGAAGGGAGCCTTCCTGACGCAGCCCTGAGAGCTGGGATCCCTGCCCCTGGGGGCAGCCTGCCGAGCTTTCCAGGGCCGAGGCTGCAGCTTGAGGGGGCGCAGGTGCAGCTCTTGCTGGCGCGGGACCTCTGCGGCCTCCAAGTGGTGCTGGTTTCGCAGGAGTGCTCAATGGAAGAAGCATGGGGTCATGGGATTGCAAATCCTGGGAGACTAGTGCTGTGCCACAAGGCGATGCACAGTGGAGACTGCAGGAAGGCAGAGAGCCCAGCCAGGTGAGACGCCTGCCCAGGACAGCTGCAGGCAGTGTGCCAGGCCAAGCCTTGAACCCCGCGCCACGGACATCGGCACGCAGCCTCAGAGTGGCCGAGTTCCACAGACCGCAGAGCCACCGAGGCCTCCATGTAGATAGATTTCAAAGGCTGTCTTGGACAGCCCTGGGGTGGCCCAGGCCCAGGGACCTGTAGCAGAGGTGGGGCCGCTGCAGGGCCGTGCCAGGCAGAAATGCGGGGTTGGAGCCGCTGCGCGCACGGGAACAGCGCCTACTGGAGCTGCAGAGACCAGGCCCGCCTGAGAACGGAAGCAGGGGCTGCGTCGCAGCAGGGTGGAGGCGTGTCCACCATGGAGCCCCCCATGAAGGTCTGCATGTTAAAGGTCTGGCTCCAGGGTGGCGCTGTTGGGAGAGGGTGGGGACTTGAGCCGACTGGGTGCCTAGGAGCTGGGCCTAGCGGGTGCTGAGGCCACTGGAGGTCTGACCCTGGAGAGTTGGCTGCATAGGCTGGACTCCACCAGGTCACTGTCCCTGCTTCCTGCGTGCGCCTGCGCCCTTCCCTCTGCACCGCCACCCCTGCCATCGGGGCAGCCAATTCTGAACTGCGAACTTCCGAGATTATGAGCCAGAATAACCCTCTGTCCTTTGCAAGCAGCTTCTCCCCGATCTTTGCCATAATGAAAAGCTAATGCTGGGCACTCTGCTCGTTCCCTCCCCCACAGGCCAGACTGCTGGGGGCTGCGGTCCAGGTCCCTGCTGGCCGCTCAGAAACTGGCCCCAGCGACACGAGTGGCTGGAGGTGCCTTCCCCTCCCTGTGAGTTGTGCGCTGGGTCCCGCACAGGAAGCAGAGGCGTGGGGTGAGGTTTGAGGGAGAAGGGCTGGGGAACAAGGGGTACCGAGCTGGAGCTGTCATTCTAGCAGCAGTCGGGCCAAGCTGCTTGGTCTTTCTCAGGAATTGAGATAAATTGCTAGGGGAGTTTCAGAGGCCTGGGCCTGGGAGGGGAACCCGGCCTGGCCTGGGGCAGTATCGCCCAGGGGGCTCAGGAGGGCAAACTCAGCTGGACAGCTGTGTGGATGGAGGCCTTGTGGCCTCCCGCAGCCGCCTCCCTCTGTTTCCCATCTGCCAAGTCCACCTGTGAAGCGAGCGCAGGCCTGGTCCACTTCCGGGAAGGGCAGAACCTGGGGCTCTGTGCTTCGGCTCTGGAGCCAGACCCGTGGGAGCTGCAGCTCTGTCCCTCCCCATCCCTGCGTCTTGGCAAAGGCGGTGCCGCCCCCCTACAGTGGGGCCAGGAGCAGGCTCAGGCTCCACAGGGCCTTGACTGCAAGAACAAGTTCAGGATCAAAGTGGAGAGAAGGTGGACCGGGAGGTGGCAGTATGGTCGCCCCCACCTCTGTCTCCCTCCCCCAAAAACCACTCAGTCTGGTCACCTAGGACTTCTGTGTGTGCGGTTTTTTTTTTTTTTTTTTTGAAACTTTTTAATAGTTATTCATGTTCTACAACTTACAGTAAATATCATAGTTACAAATTCTGGGCTTCAATCTTTCAGTGATCACTATCTGATCTTGGAAACAAAACGAAACAAAAACCCAAGAGTCTGAAACGATAAAACCAAACCCGATTTACACTTCATACACACAGGAGGCCCTGGGGCTTCGCAAGCTCTGCGCTGTAGGTAGTGTTTGCAAAACGCCTATAAAATTCTGATTGAACTACTTGGAAGACACCCGTCAAAGGTTTATTATTATTATTATTATTTTAAATGTTTTATTTCTTTTTAAAATGTGAGTTCCAATAAAATTTAAAAATTAGATTCCAACCTGTAGATTAAAATGAATTAAAAAATACAAAATCATATACAGCGCTCTCTTCACAGGGGTGGTACAGGCCAGGAGAATGGGTTTCTCTG